GAGGCAGTATGACCTCTGAAACGTTGGTTAACATCGACCTGACTACATAGCGCAACAACTCAGGAGACAGAAATCTTCATCTTCATTTAAAATTAACCACGCGAATAAAACTCATTTAGAAACACAAGTCACTTATCCTCTGAATAAACTTAGTGTTTAATCTTTAAAACCCAAGTAGTCGTGTGTACCACCAACCAATTACTATTCCCAGAGAGTTTATTTACTTGTTTTGTAATATTCTTGAGGTAAAAATGTATTACTTACTTGAACTGTTTAAATGATCTGGCCTCTGCAATGGGCAGGTTCTGCGTTTTATTTGAGGTACGAACTGAATGTAAAATAGTATTTAGGCGAGCTTTAACTTCTCATGCAGTCAGGCCAATTCCAATTCAACAAAATCCCCCACCTCCTTACTGTGGAAGCCACTAAATTACTTTACTAACATTCACTAACAAACAAATCAAAATTCCGTTGTCTCTGTTTTCAAGTTGTCCCTATTTATAAAATTAACTCCTTCACTTTTATTCTATCCTTATCTGAAAGACGAGCTGTCATTGCCTGCGAACCTTCTAACAAAAATATGTTCTTTCTCCCCATTAGAATTAAAGTGCCTCTCACTTTTCTACCACAATTTTCTGTTCTTCTTCAGAGTGCTAATAGTGATAACGGAAAACATTGAATTCAAGTATTGTATGCAGCTTCATGAAGGAAATTTATGCCAAATATATAATGAATCTTCTATTGATTTAACCTGCATTCAAAGAAAACAGCTTTTATAAAAACAAAACTCATTAGGATGACACCTCTAGAAGGCCGTGAACACGAGGTTAGTCGTCGGTTTCAAACCACGGAGCCCGGATTTACTCCTGGGGCATTCCATGTGGAATGTGGGATTTGTGGTCGACAAATTGGCACTGGGGCAGATTTCACTCCGTGGCCTTCGGTTTGCGCCTGTCAGTATCAATCCACCGCTGCTCCATATTCACTCATGTATCATCTGTGGTATGGGCAATGGTTCTGCTGGCGGCCTCGGTTCCACAGATGTATATCTCACCCTTCGCAGCAGCAACTACATAATAGTTCAAACATATTAGAAGGAATTGTGGTACCAAAACGATTCATCCTGATAAGAACGTGGAAATATTACCATAGCTTATAACGTGATGTTGCTTCGAAGCGCGTTCTTTTATGTTCTCTTCGGTATTACTTCAAATTTCTTACACTTCTTGTTAATTTAAGCGGGGACTACACAGAACCCTTGGTTAAGTAACTATATTTTATATTTTAGAATTGAGATTTTCTTAAGTTCCATATTGTAGGGTCAGACGTTTTCACGGCGGTGAGTCTGAAGATTGCTGTCTTCTGGGTTGTTGCGCCATGTAGTCTGGTAGAAGTTCACCGACGTTTCAGAGGTCCTTGCTGCCTCCATCATCGTCCTGATAATGGAAGCAGCAAGGACATCTGAAACGTCGGTAAACTTCTATCAGACTACACGGCGCGACAACCCAGAAGACAGCCATCTTCAAGAACCTTACACTTTGTCAAAACAAAACAAAGAATATATAAAAGAAACCTTAACAAAAAAGTAAACCCAAAATAAATCACGAGTAACGGAACATGGAACTTCGTAACTTCGTCTCATTGCCTTGAGAACAGTTAAGTGACCTGTGTGAATCATAATGATTCTCATCATGTTAGCACAGATTCGCAATTTCTGATTCGCATCATTGCCTTACGAGTTCCAACATTCGTATGCCTTTTTAAATACATTCTCCTCAAACATTTGCAATTTACATAGGATTTGAGGTTTTCACGGCATGAGTCTCAAGATGACTGTTCTCTGGGTTGTTACGCCTTGCAGTCTGGTAAACTTCTAGCATACTACATGGCGCAACTACCCAGAAGACAGCCATCTTCATTTGCAATTTACGTAAAATAGGTTTTTTCTCAAAATATATCGGCACTGCATAAACACACTGCAGCAAATATCTCCATGAAGCACACTCTTTGTTCAGAAGCTAAAATTGACTCAGCGGACTAATAAATTCCACCTTTTATGAACCCCGGAGGACCTTTGCACTGTTCACAACAGCCCTCGAACGGACGCTGTGGCAAGTTAGCTGAATCCAGTCCACACCCCAAGTCCTGTTTTCTTAAAACACGTCTTAATATAATCCTCCCATCTATATACATGTCTCCATTAATTTTCTCTAACTCTGTTTGAGTTTCCCACTTCTGATATTGTGCTACATGTTACGCCAATTGCATCCATCTAAATTTCATTATTATTGCATCTATTTACGACTTTATAGGGTATTTACTTCTAAGTACCTGAAACAAACCTTGACCCTGAGGTACTTAGTGTAGCAGCTATTTCTGAAATACATTTTGTTTTCTAACACGTGTTACATTCATTAAACAGATTTTGCGTGAGGCATTATATAATTTACATGGGCGTCTTTCGAATGATGTACGATGATCCTAGAATGGTTTCTGAAGTTTCCTAATGTCGTGCTCACCTGGGATGTTGGCAGAATATTTTTTCAGTGGCTTGGAGACAGTTCCAGTTGCTCCTATAATTATTGGGATTACCCTTGCTTTCACTTTAAACATTCCTTTGCTTTCACTTTCCACATTCCTTGTATTTCAAGATCTTCATAATAGAAGGTCCTTGTATTTCAAGATCTTCATAATTGCTATATCAATTAAGAGACAAGTTCCATTTTTGTTTCCAATTATAATATCAGGTTTGTTATTTGGAATGTTTCTATCTGTTTTGTCTTGTTGATTCCACAAAAAGTTGGTATTGCTATATCAATTAAGAGACATGGTCCATTTTTGTTTCGAATTATGAAATCTGGTTTGTTATTTGGAATGGTTATATCTGTTCTGACTTGTTGGTTCCACAAAATAATTATTTGGTTATCCTGACTTGTCTCAACTGCCTTCGGGATGTGTTCATACCAATGTTTCTTTTCTAGCTTTACTCCAGCTTTCCTGCATGTGTTAAAATGTAACTGAGTACAGACACGAACATGTTATTGCATATTACTTTTTTGAAAGCACTGGGCATCCGGACATAACGTGATCTGTCGTCTCATCAAATTGCTGACATAATCTGTTTTTACTGTCTGTATCTGTTTTTAATATTTTGGCTGCATAATATTTAATGTTTAGCGCTTGGTCTTGTGCTGCTATAATCTGACTTTTAGTAGTAGTAGTAGCAGCATCATCATAGTCATCATCATCGTATTCGTCGTTGTCATCTGTGGCTCTACAACCATTTACGGACCTTGGTGTCCTCCCAGGTAGAGCTTCCTTAATCTATTTAGACATTTGGTGGAACTCCTTGGACAAGTGTCCAGATTGCATTACCCCAGCAATATTTTGAGGAGATAGTAACTTATGAATCTCATTATTATGTAGTTTTCTCCGTACTTCTGTTACCTCTCTCTTGGTTCTAAATAGTAATCTCCTCGTCAATGAACCTTGTTAGGTAAAAATAGAAATGATTTTATGCTGTACTCTTCACATCCTCCGTCAGTATCCCAAAACTCAAGTAACCAACAGTAAAAGCAGAAACGGAAAATGATAGGAAGTTCTATTATCGACGAGTGTGAAGATGACTGGTTTCTGGAATGTTGCACCGTGCAGATTGATGGATTCTGACCAACGTTTCAGAGGAACTTACTACCTCCATCATCAGGATAATAAACTCCTCTGAAATGTCTGCCAGAATCTACCAATCTACACGGCGTAACATTCCATAAACCAGTCATCTTCCAAATACTTCTAGTCATTCATGTTAGTCTACTTTGTGATGCTCTATCGCGCAAGAGTGGCCTATCAAAATAAAGGTCTATCATGGTTGTTTACTTAATCACCAGATATTGCTATATATTATTCCCATGTCATGCGGAACTGTGACAGTAATGACATTAAAACTGAACAACCGAGCGAGAAATGCGTACTACATTTTGTGTACACCACGCTGTTACCTTGCAGGCATCGCATCAAATCAATATTTTCCATTCATGTATTTGTCCGTTCCCTTTCCGCAAATACAAAATATGTATTTGACACACAAACCTTCGCATAAACATATGTTAGTCCCCAATATCTGCCACTTGCTGTATTGGTGTGTCTTTCCTTGTTCTGATCGTCTTCTTATTCAGTAATAATAAAAGGCGACGTTTTATTGCTAATAACTTTAAACTTTACTAATAAAATTCCTTCAGTATCTTCTCACCACATAATGAAGGTTTACAGGGAAGCCTGCAGGAAAACTCCATGCGTTATAAACCTCAACATTATATAAATGCAGTAGCCAGTATCACACTATTCCAAAATTTCCCCATATTAATAACCCCGAATAATTCTTAGACCGGCATTCAGCTTCGAAATCAGGTCCCTCTGATACTTAAATACACCGCAAGGTCTGGTTACTTCGATCGAAACAGAACGTTACTAGTCAATGTGTCCGTGGGACTGTTTTACGTCGATCACTAATTTATAACATGTCTAACCCTAAATATTTGATCTTCTGTTGCGCCATGTAGTCTGGTAGAAGTTCACCGACGTTTCAGAGGTCCTTGCTGCCTCCATCATCGTCCTGATAATGGAAGCAGCAAGGACATCTGAAACGTCGGTAAACTTCTATCAGACTACACGGCGCGACAACCCAGAAGACAGCCATCTTCAAGAACCTTACACTTTGTCAAAACAAAACAAAGAATATATAAAAGAAACCTTAACAAAAAAGTAAACCCAAAATAAATCACGAGTAACGGAACATGGAACTTCGTAACTTCGTCTCATTGCCTTGAGAACAGTTAAGTGACCTGTGTGAATCATAATGATTCTCATCATGTTAGCACAGATTCGCAATTTCTGATTCGCATCATTGCCTTACGAGTTCCAACATTCGTATGCCTTTTTAAATACATTCTCCTCAAACATTTGCAATTTACATAGGATTTGAGGTTTTCACGGCATGAGTCTCAAGATGACTGTTCTCTGGGTTGTTACGCCTTGCAGTCTGGTAAACTTCTAGCATACTACATGGCGCAACTACCCAGAAGACAGCCATCTTCATTTGCAATTTACGTAAAATAGGTTTTTTCTCAAAATATATCGGCACTGCATAAACACACTGCAGCAAATATCTCCATGAAGCACACTCTTTGTTCAGAAGCTAAAATTGACTCAGCGGACTAATAAATTCCACCTTTTATGAACCCCGGAGGACCTTTGCACTGTTCACAACAGCCCTCGAACGGACGCTGTGGCAAGTTAGCTGAATCCAGTCCACACCCCAAGTCCTGTTTTCTTAAAACACGTCTTAATATAATCCTCCCATCTATATACATGTCTCCATTAATTTTCTCTAACTCTGTTTGAGTTTCCCACTTCTGATATTGTGCTACATGTTACGCCAATTGCATCCATCTAAATTTCATTATTATTGCATCTATTTACGACTTTATAGGGTATTTACTTCTAAGTACCTGAAACAAACCTTGACCCTGAGGTACTTAGTGTAGCAGCTATTTCTGAAATACATTTTGTTTTCTAACACGTGTTACATTCATTAAACAGATTTTGCGTGAGGCATTATATAATTTACATGGGCGTCTTTCGAATGATGTACGATGATCCTAGAATGGTTTCTGAAGTTTCCTAATGTCGTGCTCACCTGGGATGTTGGCAGAATATTTTTTCAGTGGCTTGGAGACAGTTCCAGTTGCTCCTATAATTATTGGGATTACCCTTGCTTTCACTTTAAACATTCCTTGTATTTCAATAAGAAGGTCCTTGTATTTCAAGATCTTCATAGCTTCCTTCTTAATTACATTTCTCTCAGTTGGTATTGCTATATCAATTAAGAGACATGGTCCATTTTTGTTTCGAATTATGAAATCTGGTTTGTTATTTGGAATGGTTATATCTGTTCTGACTTGTTGGTTCCACAAAATAATTATTTGGTTATCCTGACTTGTCTCAACTGCCTTCGGGATGTGTTCATACCAATGTTTCTTTTCTAGCTTTACTCCAGCTTTCCTGCATGTG